ACAATGCCTTGTCCTTATCAAGGGCCTTTATTAGACCCTCTGTAAAGTAACTCTGATTGCTGATCACAGCTATGTCCCTCTTCAGCAGGGAGTAGCTAGAATGGTCTTCACCCCTTGCTCCCTGTGGCAGTTAGGAGTACTTCTTCAGAGCGGGGAATACTGTGAATGGATAAGTTAACTAGATACCTTGTAGGGAGTTAGACAGGGCTGATTTCCACCAATTGTGACCTTGGAGACACAGCTCTGCATCAGCCTGGTCCTTCTCCTGGCCCTTTCTCACCTGCTGACTGCAAAGGCTCAGAGGGACACACATAGCCCTCAGTGCTTCAGTTCGTTGTTGCCACCAGAAGTGTAGGGAGGGCCCAGTGCACAAAGAGCTGCTGAAGGTGGTTGGTGACAAAGGAGGTGATGGAGCCGGAGCTGGAGCTGAAAAGGGGCGGTGACGGAGACTGACTGGTCCCCACCTTCGCTTAGGTCCCTTGCCGGTAAGCTGGGGCACAGGGCCCTAGACAGCTGTAGAATTTAGGGAGCAGGAGCACACAGCACAGGATGTGTTCTCCAGCCTCAGTGATCATGAGCTTGAAGGAAAGGCTCCGTGAGAACACACAGGGTCCCGGAGCCTCAAAATGAGGACATGACAGGCCCAGCCTGCAAGCCTCTGCCAGGGCTTTGCTGTCATCTGCATTCTGCAGTCAGAAAACTGAGGCACGGTGTCTCAGAGATAAGCAGCTTTCTGCTGATCTGGTACCTGAAGAGCAGCAAAGCTGGGTGTGCACACACAAGCAGGCCAGCTTCAGCTCTGCTTTTAACACCACTGCCATCACTGGGCTTCTAGTCCTAAGCACTCAGGGCCTGGTTTTCCAGCGGTGCTCGAAAATGTGCTGGGTTTTTGTAACAGAGTGTGGAGCTGAGAACTGGAGCACAGAGCCATGGAGTTTGAAGTCCTGTTCTCAGGGCGCTCTTGGTAGGGCGTCGGCCTCACTGGAACAGGGAGTGAGGGGCCCAGACACAGAATTCCCCGGAGAGTGGCTCTGTCCGGGCTGGGCATCTTTTCTGCCCTTGATCTGGGCCAAGGGCAGAGAGGGGGGCAGGGATGGGGTTGTCGTTTCTGAAGGAGGAATCAGGAAATGTGTTCTACAAGATCAAGGGTGTAAGGAATTAGAGCTCAGTGATTTATTCCATCGTCGGAAGTCCACTTCCTTCACCATCTGTGCCCTTCCTTCCTAGCAGTGAGAAGCCTCGTTTCCTCCCCCAGGGGATGCACATCACATCCCATCACCAGACCAGTGACTGCCGGGACATTTGCACCACCACAGGCTGAGGCATCCAGAGACTCCAAGTCAAGCTCTGAGGAAAATTCTACCAATTGTACCATGGGTTCAGCTCGCCTGAAAGAGGTTTCAACTTCTCTGTCTCGCTGTGGCCTTGGTGGGAGGAAAAGTAAAGATAAGAACATGAGGTCATTCTAAGACCCAAGAAGCACCAGGAAAATGCAGCCTGTGATGGCGGCGTCACACAATACTTGAACATGATCAATTCCCTAACACCAAGATTCTGGCTCAGGGTCAGCCCACCCGTTTTCAACTTGGGTGAAGGAAACAGCTCACACAGGCAAGTCTGGGAGGCGTCTCTGCTAAGAAACTTTGTTCCATTCAGAATGCCATATTCGCAGCAAAGACCCTCACACTTAACTTTGTGGTCCCCGCTGTCAGAGACTTGGAGAGATGGCAGGAGGTGCAGGGCTGTGGTGAGAACATCTCACTAATCTTCACAGAAGTGGCACTGTGTCCTGACAGCTCACACCCAAGCCTCTGTCAGAAGAAGCCAAGGGCTGGGCACCCAGCACAGCGATTCACTCTCCACATTCCCTGGGGCCACTGCTCACAGAGACCACTTGGCGATAAAGTGCAACTTCCACACGGCTCACAAACAGGAAACAAATACTTCAAAGAAGCAGCAAAATATCCCTCAAAAGTAGGAAAAACACAATAGAAACAGATTCAAAAATGACGAACAAGATAGAATTGGCAATAAAGATGCTAAAACAGTCAGTAGAAATAAATTTCCAACATTCAAGAAAGCGAAGAAAAGCGCAAATATCATGAGGGAAGAAATAAAACACATAAAAGATCTTAAAGGAACGTCTGGAAAGGAAACTATCATATCTGCTTATAATAGGATAACAATAGGTTGTATCACACGGTGGAGTAGGGAGTCTGAACATACAGTAGTAGATTTGGATCTGATGATACAGAAATACTTTTGATTTTATGCATCGTTTCTATTTCTTTGTCTCTGAAGGGGATGAGAGCTAACATTTCTTTATTGTCTAGTTTGTTCCACACTGTTTAGGGCTCCATGAGCGCCTATAATCTCTTGTGGTCTATATCTGGATGTCCCCCCAAAGCCTCATGCATTGCTAGGTGGGGTTTGGGGAGGTGACTGGATCATGGGGAAGTGATTTCATCGCTGAGTCCACTGAGGAGCTTACAGCAGAGAGAGACGTTGGGAGGTGAAGCCTGGTTGGAGGAGGCGCCTCCGGGGGCGTGGCCGGAGGGGTTCCTCTTCCTGGCTCCTCCCCTGACCTCCCCACTTACTTCCACCAGGCTATGTGCAGCTGCGGCCTTCCAGGCCTCTCTACAATGCCACCTTGCCGTGGAGCCAGCCTATTATGGACTGAAATCTCTGGAATTTATTTATGTTTTCCTTTTTTTGGTACCGGGAATCGAACTTGGGACCTTGTGCTTACGAGGCAGGTGGCGGAACCAACCACTGAGCTAAATCTCCGGCCCCTGAAATCTCTAGAAACTTGGAGCCAAAATTACCCTTGTTTCATTTAGTTGTGGTTGTCAGGTAGTCTCTCTCACTGATGAATATCACATCCCCATAATCCAGTTACCTCCCCAAAAACCCACCTAGTAATGTGTGAGTCTTTTAATACAATAATAGCAACTGTCCAAAATTATGCAAAAAAAGTTCAAAAAAATTCAGACGTTTACTAATGAGCTGTGGGAAAACTTCAGTTGGTAAAATTATGTAACACTGGATCCCTTTAGGAAAGGTGACAACCAAGAGGGCTAGGAAGACAAATCTGAAAAATATTCCTGAAAACTCCCACTTTGGTAAAAACTAGAAACCAATTGATCTACTTACTTCAATGAACCCCAAGTTCAGTATAAACTGGAGGGAATTTGTCATCCAATGGAAGTAAACCAGTGATGAAGATGAAAATCTTAGCTGGGCGTGGTGGTGCACACCTGTGAGCCCAGATGCTTGGGAGGCTGAGACAAGAACATCTAAATTGCCTACGAAACTTAGCAAGACCCTGTCTCAAAAATTAATATGCAAATGGTGCTGGGGACGTATCTCAGTGCAAAGGTCTGGGTTCAGTCCCTGTAAGAAATGTCGCACAAGAGACCAAATAGATACAGGCTTTGTGTGAGCAAAAGGCTGGTTTATTCTCTACCCAGTGCGGATGGGCTGAGATCAAGAAAGATGTCAGCAACTGGCCAGAGAAGAAGCAAAGTTTTATAGGGCTTGGGAAGGGGTGCTGGCTTAAGGAATCTGTGTGGAATGCTTGTGGTCCAGGCTCCCAGGATGGTCAGGCCAGGTGAGCAGTAATTCCGGATTTCTCAGCACGTGGAGATTGCACCTCCTGTCCTGAATTTTCTTTATGGCCATCTGTACTGAGGACAGCATGGACCTTTATTGGTTTCCTGTTGTTTGTTGAAGACTCAGGTTTCCTGAGAGGTTGTCACTCAGGTCAGGCATGATAGTCCCCAGAACTACAAAAAAGAGAAAAAGAAAGAACCTAGGGATTTAGCTCAGTGGTGCCACCTCCTGCCTCACAAGCAGCAGGTCCCAAGTTCAATCCCTGGTACAAAAGAAAGGAGGGGAAAGGAAAGAAAGAGAACAAGAACAATAAAAGAAAGAGAAAAATAAGTGGTGCATACAAGTAATGCTCACACTTCCAAGGCTGAGGTAGGAGGATCATGAGTTTGAGGCCAGTCTGTAATACAGAGTGAGCTCAAGTCCATCCTGCACTGTATATTAAAGCCCTCAGTCACAAAATAAAGTAAATTACACCAATGTTGACTATTACAGGAAAGTCATTTAAATAAATTCTGAGTGTTGAAAAACTTACAAGTGCTCAGCGATTGAGTATTAGAGAATAATTAATGACCAGAACCGGCCCCCTTCTATGGGATCAGTTACCACAGAAACACCAGCTGCCCTATAGGACTTGCTGGAGCTCTCTCACAGAGGCGTACTAAGTTAGATGTTTAGTTACCTCTGAAAAGCTTTCCCATGGAGACTGACAGTCACTGTGGTTTGGGGGATTTATCAGGAATGGGGTCTCACTGTGCTGACCAGGTTGGTCTTGAACTCCTGACTCAGGCAATCTTTGCTTCTCAGGCTCCCAGACACTGGACTGCAGGTCTGCACCATCTCACCCAGCAGTTAGAAAGAAATAAGAGCTTTGGGTTCCACAAACTCATCTCACAGGTGGTTGTCAGGCAAACTTATCCTTTTTTGTTTTGTTTTTGTTTTTCTAAGACAAGGAGGTCACTAGGAGGCCCAGGCTGGCCTGAAGCTTCTGATCCTCCTGCCTCAGCGCCCTAAATGCTGGGATTGAGAGTGTGCACAAGTGTGCCCGGCTCCACAGTTGCCCTTCTCACAGTTTTCCTGGTACTGGGGGTTGAATACAAGGCCTTGATGCTGAGCTACACCCAGTCCCTTTTATGTGCATTTTCCCTGAGTCAGGGTCTGGCTATGTTGCCCCAGGGCTGGTGTCATCCTAGAAGGTGGGGTCCTCCTAGGCCCCGCCCCTGTCCCTCAGCTCCTCAACCAGCCCGTGGCAGCAGCTCTTTGGACTCTGAGACCCAGACCTCTCCCAGGCAGCCTCTAGACTCAGGGGGCGGGGCCGAGACTGTGATTGGCGAAAATCAAGGTGCGGGCAAAACCACGGGCGGGGCCCCTAGGCTCTGGCCAAACTTTCCGCCTATTAGGCCTCGGGTTCAGCCTAGGGTTGGGCCGAGGGTTGGGCCGAGGTGCCGGCCTATTGCGGGGCCTCCTTGGAGTCGAAGGGCGGGGCCGAGGTCTGCCTTGGCGGTTTCCACATTCGCGCATCAGCATCAGCGCCCAGCAGCCGGCGAGGCTCGGTTCCCCACAACTCTCAGCCGGGAAGAGCATGGCTTCAGGCGGCCCTGCGCAGAGAACGCAGGATGGTGGATCCTCGAGAAGTTAAGAAAGTAGATTTATTCTTATATTCTGCTCATTCCGTTGATTTTTGAAGGCCTGGTCTCACTGTGCAGTGTGGGCTGGCCTTGAATTGGCTATTTATTATTTTCTGTGTCTGAATTTAATTCAGAGTCGTAACGGAGCCGCATCTTAGCCTTGTGCCTGTGGTTCCAGTAGTGTGGACAGGGACGCCTTAGGGAGCAGATAGAGACTGGGCAGGGGCGGGCCGGGGCAGCACTGAGATATAAATAAATCAGTGCGTTTACAGACCTCAGCGTCGTTTGCGGCTGTGACTAGATGCCCTCCCAAAGTCTCAGGCAGCCCTTTTAGAAGGTGGCTGAATCTGAAATGTGTGATGCTGGGATTAAGGACCTGCGATTACCAAGCCATCCCATCTCAGAAAAAATAGGAGGGGGTGCTTACCTTGCATGAGCGAGGTCCTGGGTTCAAATCCTGGTGTTATAAAAACAACAGCAGTAATCAATATTTTCCACCTCGATATTCACGTTATTTCTTACATAATTCTTTTTCCATACTTCACAATTTACAATCTCATGTAAAGCTATCACTCCAACAACATTAACACATCTAAAGGCACCACTATATAGATTTTATTCTTTCTTTCTTTCTTTCTCTTTCCTTCCTTCCTTCCTTCCTTCCTTCCTTCCTTCCTTCCTTCCTTTCTTTCTTGGTACCAAACCCTGTGGCTCTCTACGGTTACAGGCTGGAGGTCTTGTCCAAGTTCTTCATGTCCTGAACAAATAATTGAGCAGGACCACAAAAAGCATCAACAGGATCAAAGATTGATCTTCGTTTTGCAGACAGGGTCTTGCTATGTAGCCCAGGGTGGCCTTGAACTTGCAATGATCCTCCTGCCTCAGAGAACATTCAGTTAAAAGATTGATTACATATATCTTAACCCATGTCCCATTTGACCTAAGAAATCACCAGCAACACTGTGGCTACAACACTTACTCCAGGATAACTGTGGGTCACAATCCTGACCTCACCTCCAAAGTGTGCCACTAAATACCTTGCTTTTATTCTTTTTTCCCCATTGCTGTAGTGTATCTCCCGTCTTTGGAAACAAAAGATGCCATTATGTATATAAAGTTCTGTATTTCAATTTACAAAATAGAATTAGGATTCTACTACTGAAAATTAAAAGAATGGAGGTAGTGACCTACAATTTTTTTCTAAGGATGAAATATAAGTCAACGAGAGTAGTTAAGGACAACTTGCCACTCCCAGAGGAGTGGCCAATGCCCAGGGATCCCTGAGACATGTCTCAGGTGATGCACAATACCCATGTCCCAGCAAAGTCCAACCATTAATGACGGGGGACAGATGTAAAATCGAACAAGACGCAACATGGTTCTGCCAGAAGAGAAAATCAGAATGCTCATGGCAGCACCACTTACGGTACAGAAGGGAAAGTTAAATATGTCCATGCATGCCTGTGTGAATCAGCTGTCCCATTGCGGGGACACACTATCGACTCCCAGGACTTGAAGGAGGAAAGGCTAACGGGGCTCATGGTTTTGGGGTGTTCAGTCCATGGTTGGCTGCTCTGAGGCAAGAGCATCATGGCAGAAGATAAGCAAAAGAAAGCAGCTCGGTTCATGGTGATGGAAGCGAGCAGGGGGTGCACCGGAGTGAGTGGGGGAGGGACAGATGCAGACCCGGGGTCACACTGCGCGGCCGTCCAAGCCCCTGGGGCCTCCTAAGCTAATGAAGGCCACCCTCCATCTTCCCTATCACAATGCCTTTCAGGAGCAATGTACTGACTGATCACTCTGGATAAAGACAGTGTGCTAAACTGAGACGAAGACATCGCTGAGCCAGGTGAGCGTCGGGCACCATACTCCCAGCTGCTCGGGAGGCTGAGGCAGGTGGATCACAGGTTTGAGTCCCCTTGGGCAACTTAGTGAGACCCTATCTCAAAATGCAAAATCAGAAAGATTTGTAGATGTTGCTCAGTACAAAGAACCTGTGTTCAACCCCATAAAATACCCACACCCTGCGCATGTGCGTGCGCACACACACACACACACACACACACACACACACACGCCTCTGAGGACAGAGAAACGAAACTTGATGACTTGCTATTCTTCTTTATGATTATCAACAGAAACTTTATTACTCATGGATTCCGGGAACAACTGAAGGATAGGCGGTATAAAGGGGGGAAGAGGGACAGAGGGAGAAAGAATCCTACAAGAAGGGAGGGCCAGACCAGGGAGATAAGAAACACGGATAGGGCACAGGGGCAGTTCTACAGCAGGGGATACTGAACGAAGGGGCAACTGCGTGGGGCACTGAACCCAAAATTAGCCCCAGGAGATGGAATGAGCATCGGCCCAGGTCGGATGGGCGCAGGAAAGAGAGTTAGTAACACTTAGGGCTGAAGGATGCTGGGCTTCTGTCAGGAAATTGGGGCTTGGGTTTGAGCTTCGGGGTGTAACACGGGGAACCCAGTAGTGCTGGCTGCAGGAGGAGCCCCCAGACCCCTCCCCTGGGGGCACCTCACTGACACAGCAGAGACGTCCGCTGGAGTATGGTTGTGGGCTCCAGCCTGTTCCTTAGACACAGCGCTCCAGGCCGAAAGGTTCCCGCGGGATTCAGCGACCAGATCCTCTAGGTTCCGGAGGGTGGGAATCGAGGCACTGTCCGTTCAGGCAGCAATACACAAAGAAGAGGCTGAGAATCAGTCCCACAGAGGCAGCAAGGATAAGCAGGGCTCTTGTTATAAACAGCCACGGGCTCTGCCGGGAACGATACCTGCCCCAGTGGACCGGGTGGCTCCACTCACTCCAGCGCTGAGCACTCCCGCAGAGGGGGTTAAAGCGGCTCCGCACCCGGAACGTGTACACTTTGTGCCTGTCCACACTAGGAAGGGAGAAGCTCTGCTTGTGAGCCACTTGTTCTGTCCAGCTGCTGTCCCTGTCACTCCGATACTGCACCAGATGCTGCAAGCAGTGGTCCACGGGGTAGCTGTTGTTCCAGCTCAGTTCTAGCTGGGATTGGCCCAGGCTGCGAAGGGTGAGATTCTGCGGAGCCCAAGGGATCACCAGGTCCTGCAATTTTAGCTTCTGTTCCCTCTGCCTCCCGGGTTCCCGTTGGTCCTGGAGCCTGACCACGAATGTTTCATAGAGATGGATCTCACTTCCGGGCAACCAACAGCCGGAAGTGACCTCTTCTGAGAACAGGTAGTGACCACACTCCTGGACTCTCTCAGAGTTCTTGTAGCCATATTGCAGAGTCAGGTTGGCAGGCTGGGGCTCTGAGCTATTCCTCCAAGTGCAATTCATGTACTCGCCATTGAACACAAAGCACTGCACCTCTGGGAGGGGCGGAGGGGAAATGCTGAGAGGCCCAGGGATCTCAGAGGTCAAGAAGGAACCAGCTGCGGCTTCTTCGTCCCCACTGGGGCTGAGGCCCATCGAGGTCAGCCCCAGCAGAGGCAGCTGCAGGAGTAAGAGGGATCTCAGTGGCCGTGGTGGCCTGAACATGGTGCCTGTTCGTTCCACCGTTCGCTGTTCTTCAGGGCTCTGATCACCGTGTTCCGTGGCTGCTGTGGAAGCAAAGAGGAGGGAGCCTGAAATCCACAGTGTGGTGTGGATGTGCGAAGGTTTCTGGGAAACCCAGCGTCCTAGTGAGAGAGCAGCAGATCTGAGAGCCTGGGGCCAGGCTGAGGACAGCAACAGCCCCAGGGAGCGAGTGAGCCAGGCCACAGGACTCCGCTTCTCAGAGATGTGCTGAGACTCCGGGGCCAGGGGCCATGTACAGCTTTGGCCTCTCTGGATGAACCTGCAGTGAGGGCGAAGGGACCTTATGCTCTAGACTGGCACCTGTACTCCTGGCACTCTGCTAGGCTGAGGCAGGAGAATGGCAAGTTTCAGCCCAGACTGTATAACTTAGCTACTTAACAAGGCCCCATCTCTAAATACAAAATTTTAAAAAGATTGAGGTTGTATGTAGCTCAGTGTAAAGGCCCTATGTTCAATCCGAAGTATCAAACACCAAAAACAAGACAAAACTGTGCTAAGAATACAAACGTCATCCTGAAAGTCTTTCATTTGGCGGAGCACGGTGGCAGACACTTTAACAGCAGCACTTGGGAGGCTGAGGCAGGAGGGTCATTGAAAGTTCAAGCCCAGCTAGTGCTCCAGAGCCCAGGTCACAGCCAAACTGAACTACACAGAAGACGCAGTCACACAGATAAGAATGCTGTACCTTCATGTGGTCAGGCCTGTCTTTTCCAAGCAGCTTTTGGGGTGTGTGTGTGTGTGTGTGTGTGTGTGTGTGTGTCTGGGGATGGAACCCAGACCTCATACATGCTAGGCAAGTGCTCCCCCACTAAACTGCACCTGCAGCCGTTTTTCAGAATTTTATTTGGAGACAAGATCTCATGAAGTGGCCCATGCAGTCCTAGAACCTGTGGGTCTCTATCCTTCGCCTGGTCTCTCTTTCCTTTGACACTGCCAACATAGACCACAGACTCCCTGGTGGTGAACACCGCTTTCCTTTGCTTTTCCTGTGTTGTTCAGACTGGCCTCGAACATAGTACATAGCCCAGGCTGGCCCCAAACTCCTGGTGAACTTCCTGCCTCGGCCTATGGAGTCTTGGATTACAGGAGTGAACCAATGTACCCAGCTAATTCCTGTTTCTTTGGGAAAGAATACAGAAGGTATTGGGAGCGAGATGGCCGCAGAGAACAGGCATAGGAACAGCACTCTTGGCTGCCTTGTCCTCTCCGTCTGGGTGGGATTCTGCCAAGGCTGCTGGTTAGGTCACGGTTCCTCCATGATGGCTGTAACTTTTCACTTGGAAATAACTTCACATTCACAGAAAAGCTACAACACAAGTACAATTCCTCTCTGCTAACTGTATCAACAACGGGTATCTTTGGCTCCCCTCCTTATGTTCTTTGTCTGTTTGGATACAGGTCCTCAGTAAGCTGCCCAGGCTGGACTTGAATTCAAGATGTTCCTGCTCTCCCTCAGGAGGACCTGGGGTGACAGGCGTAGGCCACTGCTCTATGCTGCTCTGTCACATTTTTTAGCCTTCTCTCTCTACCTAATTACAAAAAAATCACTCAAGGGAGAGAGTCTTAGAATTCATGTCTACTTAACCTCAATCGTCAGCGGCAAAGCCTAAGCATGAAAATATTCTCTTGTACATAGACAGTAAAATGATCAAAGGCAGAAAATTCAGTATGAACACAATACTATTATGGGAGCCAGGATCTGTAGTTCAACTTTAGCCACCTGAGTAACATCCGGCTTGGTTTTTAATCTCCCTTCAGGTCAGCATCTTAGTTGCTTCCTCGTATCTGAGACAAATCCCTGACACCCACAGTTTAAAGGAGGAGAGGTTGATTTTGACTCACAGTTGTAGAAGCCTTGGTCCCTGCGTGGTCAGCGGTTCCTAGGGAGATTGGGTGGGGTGCAAGGGCCTGGGCGGAAGAGCCTGGGCAGAGGGGAGCTGCTCACCAGGAAGCAGAGAGAAGCGGGAAGCAGGAGGGAGATAAACCCTTCCAGGCCACGCCCCAAGGGCCGCCTCCCGCCAGGCCCCGCCCTGAAGAGCGCCATTCAGTGGTGAAGGAACGGATGGGCGGATCCACTGATGAGAATACACTTCCCAGGCAAAAGTCACCGCTCAGAAGCCCACCTCTGAGCACAGGAGGCTTTGGGGGACACCCTGGAGGGAATAGAGAGCAGGCACCCAGTCTTCTCCAAAATGTGCGAGGCTTCTGTGGTCATCATTTTCTCTTTCATGACTTCAAATTTTTTTCTCTGGTACTGAGGATCGGACCTACTGAATATAGGCCTTTAGCACTGACATGCAGCCAAACCTCTTCTTGTTTATTTTGAGAGAGGGTCTTACTAAGTTGCTAAATTGCCCAGGCTATTAACTACATAATGAATTGATGGTCAGCCTAAACCACGTAGCAAGACCCTATGTCCAAAACAAACAAAACAATAAACCTCAAAACAAAACAACAACAACAAAAAAACAGAAAAATATTTTTAGAAGAGACAAGGAAAATCATAACCAAAATTAAAATAATTTCCCCTGGCTTGGCTTGAACATTCGATACTCCTGCCTCAGCCTCCCAGAGTGCTGGGATTGCTGGCAAGCAGCACCATGCCCAGCAGGACTGAAATTTCTAAAGAAGATAGAACAGAATTTTCAGAATGTACCTCGTTGATATCTACCTGCTATTTCCTCATTGACAGAAAAGAAGACAAGGACTACCATCGTGACTACAAATCGTGACTACAAGTTTGAAAAAGTGAATTGCCTAAGCTGGTTCTCAGCTTCTGTTCCTCCTGCCCTAGGCTCCTCGAATTCGGGGATGACGGGCATGCACGAGCACACCCGGCATGACTTTGCAATCTTGGAAGAAGATCAGTAATTTTATCATATTCCTCGGCTGAGGTCTGTCTGGTGCTTCCCATGATCAGATTCAGGCTGCGCATTCCTGACAAGATCCTGCAGGAGACACTGGGTCCTTCCGTGGGGTCACTGAGGGAGGCAGCTGGTCCTTTGTGCCTGGTCCTGGGGAGGTCAATGCTGACCACGTGGCTAAGACAGTGTCCTGTGAGGTCCCGCAGTGGGTGCGGCTCCTTCCTTCTCTGTGGCAGACAGGCATCGAGGGGGCGATGGCTACACACTGTCCTCATCAGGGGCCACGCCCTGGCTCTTCCCTGTGCTAAGGATTCCCTCTTTCCTGTCTTCTGTATCTGTCAGCTGATATTCTGCTCTGAGTCAGGGCTTTCTCTTTTCGTGATGACTTCTTTATTCATATCAACTTTGGTTTTTATGCTTGACACAGGGTCTCACTATGCAGCTCAGGCTGGCCTTGAGCTCACTATGTTGCCCAGGCTGGCCTAGATCTCATGATCCTCCTACTTTAGTCTCTGAGTGCTGGGGTCACAAGCGAGGGCCACCACACCTGGCTCCCGGGCCATATTCCTGTGCTCTGGGAGCAGACACAGTCTCAGGCAGGGGCACTGCGGAGGATCATTATCAGGCCTACTTATTTCCGGAGTCAAGATTCTGGGACCCATGCTGAAGTCCAGCCCCGTGGGAATCCCAAGTGGACCCCTGCGGTCATCTCCAGGCCCACAGTGCTGGGGCCAGTTCATCCCACATCGTGCATGGAGGTCTCTGCAGTGAGATCCACCTTGGTCCTCAGCCCATTCTTGGGATCTGCAGCTATGCGGGCTCCAAGCAACTTCAACCCAGGCTGCAGGGAGGGGAATGGTCTGCAGGACACGGAGGAGGCCATCGAGGAACTCAGGGAGCAGCAGCAGCACCACGCTCCTGCTCCGGGTCTCAGGGCCTGCTCATCAGCACACATTTAAGAAAAGGAAGTATTTCCTAGATACAAATATGTGAATTTACCCCCACGGCTAAACTAGATGAAGACCAAACCACAATGAAAATTATGGCACCATGATTTTCAGCATTAAGCAGACAGGATTCTAGATGTAAAATAGTTTTGATTTGCAAAAGTGGCTAATTGCTTTAACTAGATTACAGCCCGAGATTCTGGGAGCCAGGTAAGAGCAATTTGAAAGCTCACTGGCACACAGGTTGTTTAGGGTCCTGAAGGTAGAGTGAAGCTGAAAGAATAAAAATAATCGTTTAGGAAATGCTTGAACCTGTAACTCCCAACTGTTTTGTTTCGCAGCGGATATTAGCAACCTCTGCTGATTGCCGGCACCCTCCCCTCCCACTGCAGCTCTGCCTTCTGGGTAGAATTAGCCCCAGGCATCTCTAGCTACACTTGTGGGATCCAAATAAATACGAAAATCTGTCTGCTGAGTTCCCCTAGTGCAAGGGAGAGTCTGTGACCAAACTCCTGATGTACATTGTTATCATTTGGGGTGTGTGTGTGTGTGTGTGTGTGTGGCAGTGGGCATTGAACCCATGGCCTTCACAGTGAGCTAGATCCCTATGCCTTTGCTTTTTTTTTTTGAAACAGATTCTGGCTATGTTACTACACTGCTGAAGTTGGACTAGAACTTGCAATATTCCTGCCTCAGCCTCCCAGAATGCTGGCATAGCAGGCATGAGCCACTGTGCCCAGGTGGACCGCAATCTTATTTCCCTCCTTTCCAATATTTTGAAAACACTTCCTGGTTAATATCCAATTACTATCCAGGCACAACACCCATTCCCTTAGGATTTGAACTTCTCCTAGTAACAGTGTTTTACGGTGTATATGTAGGTGTCTCCCCAGAGTCCCCTGTGCTCACAGGTGGGCTTTGGGGAGGTGACTGGATAATGGGAGTGTGACACTCATCAGCGGATCAGCCCACTGGTGGCTTTATAGCAGAACATGACTTGGGAAGCCCGGTGGGAGGAGGTAGGCCACTGGGGTGTGGCTGGGGTGGGTAGAACTCCCACCCTCCTGCGATTTTTCTCCCTCTACTTCCTGTCCCCATGCCATAGCACTTTCTCTGCCACTCTGCCCTTCTGACTTGGAGCCAGCTGACTATGGACTGAAACCTCTACAAACCATGAGCCAAAATAAACCTCTCCTTACTTCCTGTCCCCATGCCATAGCACTTTCTCTGCCACTCTGCCCTTCTGACTTGGAGCCAGCTATGGACTGAAACCTCTACAAACCATGAGCCAAAATAAACCTCTCCTTTTTTAGACTATTGCCTGTCTGGTGTGTATCTCCACTCTAAAAAGAAACTAAGACACTCTGCTTCTGGGATTAGGCTGCAAAGACACTGTGCCTCCTCTTCTCCTTCTGAGTGAAGCCAGCTGACAGGGGACAGAAGTTTGTCTCCCAACTGGTTGTGGCACCAGATGCCAGGAATCCTAATGCTCTGGGAGGCTGAGGCAGGATGATTCCATCCTCAAGTAAGCCTGGGCAATTTAGCAACTTAGCAAAACTTCATCTTAAAATTTAATAAATAAATAAATAAGTGCAAAAAGGGCTGGGGATCTAGTTTGAGGCAAAAGTATTGGGTTCGATTCCCAGTAGGAGAAAAAACAAAAATTGGCTTCAAGCCCCATACAGGGAGGAACTGAGACTACTCCAGTGACCCCAGGAGCAGATTGCCAGCTCCTGTCTGAGAGCCGGAAGCAGATCCTCAGCCATGTGGGCTTTGTGGGGTCCACAGCTCCGACGGCTGCTCACAGCCCTGGAGGATTTGCGGCCAGAGGCACACAGGCTTCTGGCCATAGTGCCCGTGATGTCAGTGTCTGCTGTGTAAGTCCTGAGGCTGGGGTCCTTCATTCCATCACAGTAGATAAGAGGACAACCCCACAGGGATGGAAGGAGGGAAAGGTTGAAACAGAGCCCAGGTCTAGGCGTGTGTGGTCTGCTGTGGAACATCAGGGCAGCCAGGATGGCTTGGACAGAAGAGAGGGAAGGGACGGACGGGAGCTCAGAGCAGCCAGGAACGCAGGTGGCAGGACAGAGGATGGGCTGGGCTTTATCTAAGCCAAATGTGGGACATGAGCAGGTTTGGGCTGTGGAGTGACAGCATGTGACTTAAGCTTTCAGCAGGACCGAGGGAGGGAAGAGTCAGGAGGTGGGCGGCTGGCTTCCTCGGTGGTCCTGGTAGGCAGCGGAGGCAGTGAGAAGAGCACCTCACCTTCCTTGTTTCCTCAGATGCTGTGTGGGGGAAACACGGTTTAACACCGTAAAGGAGCTCAGCACGGTGCTTGGCACACAGGAAGCCCTTGGTAAATGATGGCTGATCTGCAGCTGAGACAGTGCCAGCCCTGGGAATGGAGTGGAGCGGCCCGGTCTAGTTTGGCACTCGAACCTCAGTGACAGGTGGTGAGTACAGGGTTCAGGATGTGAGAGCTGAGACAGGCTTCGCTCACTACCAATGGGAAGACCTGGGAGGGGTTTTCCGGTTTGGATCTGATGTCCTGCAAGCCTCACGCACCCCAGGTGACTGGATCGTGGGTTGATGCTCCTGGGTGGGTTCCTCCACCAGGGTTAACAGCTGAATGCGCTGTTGGGGTCTGGTGCAATGACCCAGGTCATTGGGCAGTGCCTCTGAAGGGTCTTATTAAATACGTTGGGTCATTTTGGTTCGGTGAATATTCAGTTAGAATCTCAGATAGTAAATGAGCTACAGTATAATAATACTGTCACCAAACACAAACATTTCTTATTTCCCTGGAGAGTGAACCCAAGGCCTTTGCATGTCCCAACTGTTCACTTGTTATTTTAAACAGGGCCAAGTTGCCCAGGTTGGCCTCAAACTTGGGATCTTCCTCTCATGTGTAGCTAGGATTACAGGCTATGTGGCCCTGCTCCAAGCTTGGGCAGAATTTTCTGTTGGTCTTGCCAGGGTCCAACCTGATTTTCTCCCCTTTGAAAAGGTTTTCTGCTATCATTTTGCTGTTTGTTTACTGATTACCCAAATCTACTATGCAATGAGCACTCCCCAAAGAAATAAGATTGCATCCTGAAAATGTACTTTTAAAGTAGGACCGATAGCGGTTCCTGGTGCTGGCCATTTCTGGTGTCTTCTGTGACCCTGGACGTCCCTGCAGTCTCGGGTCAGCGGTGGACACTTGCTCACCTGCCCACTCGTTCCTGACCAGGGAAATGCCCTGAGCGCCGTGACTGTGCCTCAGCACTGTTAAGTGTCGTGTCCATCAGCTCCTTGAATCCATGCAACACCGGGACATGCAGACTTCGTCTCCCTTTCACAGAACCCCAGCTTCAGAGCTATGTGGTAACTCACTCACTGGGTCACAGCACCAGAAGGCAGCAGAGCCAAGCGGGGCAATGTCCTCTGAAGGACAGGAAGCTGCTGAAGAGAAAGCAACCCCTCTCCCGACCCAGGCCTTCCTGTCACGCATGGCTTCCCCTGCCTCCTGCTGCCCTGGGACAACGGATGGAGGAGAAAAACAGTCTGCGAACTGAGTTACTGGAAACAGGCATGGAAGATGAAGCAATCCAGGTAGTCAACCCATCTTAGTAGATTTTAAAAACAGTGACAGAGGAAAACAGCTGAATTTGGTCTTATTATTGCCTTGAATAGTCATCATGAAGCTCTGAGGAAGACATTCCCATCCCTGTATTACACACAGGAAGCCAGGGCTCTGAGAGGCGGTGTAAATGATTCCAAGTTACACAGATAGTGAGGCGGCCTGATATGAATCTAGTTCAGTCTTCAGAGGCTTTCTGTTATCTTACTGTAAGACTCACCGTAATAAAAGCTGTTTATTAGAATTTAAACCTCATGGGACCCAAGATCATGTCATTAATTTCTGTATGCTCAGAACGTACACAGCACCTCCCTGGTTGGTAGAAATACTCAAGCAGTGTCTGTGGGCCAGTGAGCCCGCACGAGGGTAAAAAGCACAAAGATGCATCCTAACGCAACACAAATCAGAACTCCCTCACATCCCTTCTGGGCGGACTGCTCCTAGAAAGCAGCATTATGGAGAAGCGTTTTCACAACCCACATCTATGGCTCCGATAGCACGCACAGTCTGACAAAGGCACCGTGTGCATCCAGCCCACGAGGCTGACATTTTCAAGTGGACACTAGGGGTCGGCGAGTCTTTGCTGGAAAAGGTACGTGGGTATCTGAGAAAGGCAGGCCACACTACACAGTCAAACTCATCAACTGCAAATCACTGGAAGGCAGGAAACGGGGTGAGAAAACACCCAGGCACGTGTGTAAATGCTGACAATGGCCTGGCCCTCCCTGTCCACCATGGATGTGCTTTTGGGCTCATGGCTGGGCCCGTCGCCTCTTGTGGACAGGTGAGACGCCAAGGTTTCCAGGCGAGCACACTGTCTAGTACTCCAGCGTTACCGTCTTGGTTTTGAGGTATTCATTTAGGGCTTCCTCACCTAGGGAAAAGAAAAGCAGTTGAAGAACTGAGTTCAAAGGTGGTGTGCCCTCACCAGACTCGACAGCCAGTGCCTCTCAGATTATCTATTTATTTTGGGTTTTTGTTTGTTTGTTTCTGTTTTTGTAGTTCAGGGTGGCTCTGAATTCACTATAAAGCTCAGGCTGGTCTCAAACTCATAGAGAGCCTCCTGCCTCAGCCTCCTGAGTGCTGGGATTATAGCACAACCACCACACCCAGCTACTGATTAACGTTTTTAAAAAGGCAGTACCCTTGTGAGTCCACATCAAACTGCCAGGCAGGAAGTGCCCTTCAGAACAGCCCCAGAGAGGGTTTTGCCATCCTTACCTAAGTCTTTCCCAAAGCCGGACTGTTTGACGCCGCCAAACGGGGCCGCCACGTCGGTCTTGTTGTACGTGTTAATAAACACGGTCCCCGCGTCAAGTTTCTCACTCACATACATGGCTTTGTTTATGTCTCTTGTGAAAACCCCTGAGGCCAAACCATACTCCGTGTTATTTGCTCGCTGTAGCACGCCATCAATGTCCCTGAAAGATTTAGGGAAGACAAGAAAACTTCATTAAATACTGTGGGTGTGGTGGTACACACCTGTGATCCCAGCATTCAGGAGGCGGAGGCAGGAGAATCTCTGGGAGTCGGAGGGCAGGCTGGGCTGCGAGGTTAATACAAGGCCAGCATGGACTACATAGCCAGACCCTGTCTTAAAAAACAAAAACAAATAAAAACTTCATTAAATTAATGCAAAGTACTCCACCATATATTCAACATATTTTCCCTCTGTGCTAGAAGCATGAAAATTTCCCTGCCACCTGCATAAATGTATATAAATGAAATGTTCCAGGTTCACGCTGAGGTAAATCCCCAGCCCAGTGCAATACCTTTTAGAATCAAATATGTGATTTTAGTCCTTTTCCGGGTTATCCTAACACAGCACACCTTTCCCACCCTCCCCTCTGGGCCGCCTTTTTGGACTTCTGGAGCATCCTGTGTCCCTCTCCCATCTGGGTTCTGCTCTCTGGCGCCCTCTCGGGGTGTCAGGGCCTCACTAGCTCAGGGCGGACGAGAGAGAGAGAAGGCCCCGAGCAGCCACCTGGTGAGCCTGGCACATGCCCCTTTCCTTCATTCATTCCAGGCAAAAAGAGAAACAAAAGGGCCCATTTCAGTGCGACAAAGATGGAATGAGCTAACGGTGCCGGGAGCACAGCGGGTGCTCAACGGTCAGCTCTACTCCAGGAGCGTGTGTTCCTCCACATTCGTTGTTTGGGTGTAGCAAGCTCTGCAGTGCTGGCTTCGCTCTTCCTGTGCTTATGATTTGCCTCATGCAAACTGAAGGACGGGCAATCCCAAAGGGCAAGGAGAACACGACTCGCCTCGTACCTCGGTGTCCCGTCAGGTGAGAGGGTACTGATGACTTATGCTCTTCTAATGACAGGACAGTGTAACCCTTAAAAGAGGCATGGTCGTCTCTGCCTTTTGACATCATCTACACTTGTCCTTCAGTGTCTGAAAGAGTGGCTCTGGGACCTCTGTAAGCCCCAAATCTACGGATGCTCTCATCTTCTGGTCCCTTTATATGGCTTGGCTTTTGTGTCTAACCTGTGCACACCCTGCTGTATACTTCACAGAATCTCTAGATCAGTATACAGTAATGCACAATGTAAATGCAATAAAAAATAATTGTGGCACTGCATTGTTCACAGAATAATGACAAAAATGATTGTCTATGTTCAGTACAGATAATTTTTTAAAATATCCCCACTCTGAGGTTGGCTGGACTGCGGATGTGGACCTGGGGTGGGAGGGCCAGCTCAGTGTGTCCACAGGTTGGAGAGCCCAGTTCCAAGGAGCCCGTGGCAGCCTGTCTCCCTCTTCTCACTGTGCACCTAGTACTTAAAAAGGCACACATTTTCTGGAATGTGACCACAGAATGCAAGCCACATTGTTTATCTGCTGCCCCGGGAAAGGGAGTCTGTTCCAAGACTGGAGGGAAAAGGAATCGTGATGTAGTATGGGTTTCAGCACAGTGTCTTTTAGAGGGACGTGCGAGGTCGTCTGAATCCATGTACTTTCAGATTTGCACAGGAAATTTGTGACTTGGAAAGAACCGAGACTCCTCAAACTCACACATCTGGAGGCACTGCACATGGCAGGGGTGCACACATTTAGAGTGGGCAGAGGCAGGAAGATGCCTTAGGACATCCCACTGAGGGCTGTCATATAGCCGTAGCTCTGTGGGGCACTAGAGTAGCAGCAAGCATCATGGTGATGACTTCATCCTCAGAATGGCCCCAGAAGGTAGATGTGATTATGAACTCAGTTTCTCAAGAGAAAAGCTGTGGCCAGTGCTGACAGAGGAAGGAAGGAGGTAGAGGGCCCCATCTCCCCGGGTGCCTGGCTTAACTGCCCATCTCCTTTCCTCTCGTTTGAGGGAAAGCTCTGTGAGGACGCGAGCCTCAAAATGCAGCTATGAGGTCTGAGTGTGTAACAAACACCCAGGCCGTCCTTTGGGGGAATCTATGATGACAGCAAAGTCTTCCCAAATTCTGAATTCATTTTCTTCCAATTCATTACAGGTGAAGGAAACCCAGAGCCATTCTAGAGAATTTTGTGCAGTCTTCCTTTGGGTTCAGTTGCTTTCACGAGCTCAGTTAGTACGTCCTCTTCCACACAGTGAACACAGGGATGGCTTTGTGTCCTATGACAAGCAGCATAGCATTCACAGTTCATAGTGACCACGGACACTTTTTTTTCCTGTATTTTCTGAGGTAGGGTCTTGCTATGCAGTTCAGATTGCTCTTGAACTCACTGTGCACTCCAGCACGGCCTCAAAGTCATGATGATCCTCCTGCCTCAGCCTCCCAAGTGCTGAGATTATAACCATGCCTGGCTAACTATGGTCATTTCTATAAAGGAGCAGAGCATCAGGCTTCTGGGGGCATAATCCACTACGATAGCAACTCCCTTTCTTTGGGAAAATCAGTTTCCTGGCTTCCTTCCACAGCTATATAAATGTGAAAACTAACCCTGATTGTTCTCAGTATTTTGCCTTGGTGCACAGACATTTCCATGTCATCTGCACAAAAACTAGAATTTAATCAGTTACATCATGTCAGCCCCGTAATGTAAAGTGAGAAGCAAAAATCTATTAGGTTCTATAACTGGCCAGCAAAAGCAGATGCTTCTAATTATTCAGCTGAGCTAGTTATGCTGGGGGTGGAGAGTGACAGGATCCCCGACTTCACACAGGGCAGTGGAAGGGTGTCCAGTTCCACTGCACCTGAAGAACATACCCATTTGGGAACTTGGAAATGACCATAATGGGCCCAAAGGACTCCTCTTTGGCGAGGAACATGTGGTCTTCCACATCTGTGAACACGGTTGGTTCCATAAAAAAGCCTTTTTGGAAATAAGAAAGAAAAGAATGTCAATTACAGGTTAAGTCATTTTCAATTAGTAGCTCTTTCATTTAATGACACTACGGTTTCCCTCTGGCTCAGGCAAACTAAGACAAGGTTCGTGTCTCTACTAAGCACTGGAGTCCTAGGTTCTTATTTTTAATGTACTTATTGTGAAAATTTCAAATATGTGTAAAAGTTAAATTAGTAAAATAAAAATTTATGTTTTGCTGTTTGATTTACTTTGACCTTGATGAAACACCTGAAAGCAAGATCCCAATGTAATCTTCACTCCCAAAGAATTCAGTGCAAACCAGTTAAAAATCAGGACTCTTTTCATACGGTCAGCCTGTGGTATCACAGCGAACAAAACGTGCGCTCACTCTGCACTTGTAGTGTGTACTTTTTACTCATATTGCTTGAAAATGTCTTTCTTTACAATGAATTTATTTGAATTAGAATTCACACAAGTTCTACACATGGCCCTTGGTGGTCAGATTTCTTGAATGTCTTTTAATCTAAATATTTCTGGTCTTGCCTTTATTTTTTTATGCCATGACTTGTTGAAGGCACAAAAAAGGGTGAGCTGCTGAGTAGGAAACCTCACATTTTAAATGTGTCACTCCTTCCTTGGGACGGCATTTGTTTCTGTTATAAATTTCTTTCTTCACAAACCATTCATTAGTAAATGCTTTCATAAAGAGGTGAACCCTTGACCACCCTCCATCTCTACCACCCCTTCCAGCTCAGAAAACCAACACTCTGTACCCATTAAACAGTAGCCCCTGCCTTCTCCCCGACTCTTTATAAAGCGGAGGTCTGACCCACGATGGGGTGATTACTTGTGGGTTAAGTCTCTCCAGAGAGCACTCATCATGGGTGCCACTGTGTGCTACACCCGGTGTCCCCAGGAGACACACGTCCAGCCGTCTCCCTCACTGCTGCCCAGACTGACCAGTGGCTTCAGTGAGGACAGCCTGACCCTTCCAATGCGGGGCTGCGCTCTCCTCTGCTGACCCTCAAGCAGCCTCGGGTGTGACGCTTTGGTGCCGAGTAGAGACCCGGTCCCTGTCGACCACCTGCCTGACCACATGAGCCTCCACCGGCCGCCATCTCCAGAATCAATTATTTCATCTATTAGAGAGGTGCAAAAATGGGGATTTTTTTCTTTCTTTTTTTCTGCATTTATAGATTCTTCTGCACAACATAATCTCCTTTATGGGCTTCTCAGTCACCCAGAAATTCAGTTCATACAGGAAATATAGGGAATCCCAATGTTTCTTATAATTACAAATCAATGTTCAGAGCATGGAACTGGTTCACGGTCCACAGGGAAAATAGGTTTCTGTCTTTCCTTCGAGAGCTGTAACACTGAGCCACCCAGAGACCTCAGCAACAGGTCCTGCTCTCAACAGGAACGAATCCTTCTCAGCCTGTGCTGGCTGAGATTAAATCTCAAAATCCAAGAATCACGATCACCAGGGCCCCATAGCACAGCGACTCAGTACGTGTGACAGCAGAGGGCTTGCCACATCCACTCTGTCCTTCGCACAACCCTGGAAATTAGGGCATTCACATCTCACGTGACAGACGAGAGACAAACCGCGTTATCTGAGGAACCACAGCCCGTAAGTGTAGATGGGGAACGGCAATTCATCTTCTGACTGTATCGTAAGAGCCACCGCCCACTTTCGCAGTAAGACGAAAGCGGTTAACACTGATTCCAAGTGAAGAAGGAGGCAGCCGTCCGCCCTCGCAGGGGCCTTACCTGGCCGTTGGACCTGTCTCCCCCCATACACCAGGGTGGCCCCCTCCTCGGCTCCAGTTTCACAGTAGTGCAGCAGCTTCTCCAGGTGGGCCTTGTGATTCTGGGGCCCATGGTCAGTAGATCTGTCAAGCGGATCACCGATTTTCATCTTTTTTATTTCTTCCACCTGTGGGTCACCCGGCCCGAAAACACAATGCACAGTTAATACTGACAATGGACACCCTGACTTCGCTGCACCCAGGGGTGGTACTAAGCCATGTGCAGATGTGTCCCCACTGAGACTCACAGCAGCATGGAGGCAGGAATGTTTTCCACCTTACAGAAGATGTAACGGGCCCAGAGAGGCCCAGTGACTTGCTCAGGGGCACAGAACGAGGTAGACAGCACAAGCAGGGCGGTGGGACCACTGCTCCTTCATTCACCTGAACGTGGGCAACCCCAGAGCCAGCCCTGCCCTCCACTTCCTCAGAGACCCAGAGATTTCGGAGCGCCAGGCCAGAGAATGTGCACGTTAGATACGATGGCTGCACCTACAATGACCTTTCCCCCTGGAAATCCATTAAGGGTTTCATAATGAACTGAGTTCTTCATAATTCAAAATCCACAAATGCTTCCTACACAGGGACTGCATGTCATACATGTGACCAGAGTGAGTTCTGGGAGTGTCATGAGCATGTGAAACCCTCAACGTGACTCGGAACAGTCAATCATATCCAGAGAGATCCAATGAGAGGTGCCCTAGGTGGGCGCACGTCTTAAATCCAAAAGGCTGACTTAATTCCTTCCCGATCTCCCCGCACCCAGTAGCACCCTCTTCCCAGCCACCCCGAGTGCACGTTCCCCGTTACCCTCCATGAATGCACTCCTTTTTCTTTTATCATTGGGTATGTATCTGAAGTTCTCTGCTCATTTACACAGGATCTGGACTCTCTCCCTCATCATGCACTGTGTGCACTATACCAGAGCCACTACAGATGCAGTGTTTTGGAAGCCTGAAGGTTTTTTTCCTTTTGTCAGACTGAGAATTGAACCTAGGGGTTTTCACATTGAGCTACATCCCCAGCCTCTTTTTTTTTTTTTTTTTTCCTTTTGAGACAGGTCTTGCTAAGTCGTTCAGGAGGCTGGCTGAAACCTGTGATCCTCCTGACTCAGCTTCCCACACTGCTAGAATTACAGGTGTGTGCCACCATACCTAGCTGAAAGCCCAGGTTCTTGAAAGTTCAAGGTCTCAGCTACTTTGTTCTAATAGAGTGTAAGCTCCACATTAAAGTTATCCTGAACATTAATCCACAAAAGTAGCCAACTGCTACTGTAGAATTTTCGTTAATGCAGCAAACATATGCTCTACATGGCAAAAGCATTTCTAAAATGGCCACTTTATTTTGTTTTCCCTCCTCAAATGTGGTAGACTGCTCCTGTTAACGTCTCCTGGCAGGCCACACCAAGAACTTGCTAGAATGCTCTGATGAACTACAGTCTTTATTCAACAGCAATCACCGCTGACTCCTCCTTGAGACTGCTTCCTGTCTGTCTAGTTTCCTGATGCTAAAGAGGCCGTGGATTAGGGCAAGGCCAATCGGCTGAGCAAGTGGGTGTGGCCTGCCAACCAGACATTCCAGACCCAGTTCCCAGCCCTGCCCTGAGACCAATCAGAAAGCGGCTTTTTCGATTCTCCTATTTTCAAATCACACAAGTTTTGGCAGGACAACCTGGATCTGATGTCGGCCTGAAGAATGAAGGACACCAGACGGCCACCATTACCCTCGTGGCCACCATGAGCTCTCTGCGGCCTGCTCTCACTCTGCACAGCACACTTCTTTTTGACCTTTGCTAAATGCAAAGCCTCACTGCCTCTTCTACGTGTCTGGCCCAGTTCTGGAAGAGGCTGTGGAACTCTGGAACCGGTAAGCGTAAATTCACTTCTAAGGAGAAATACGGGGAGCGGCCACGCCCTGCAAGGCCTGAGCTTGTGCTCAGCCCGGCATGGTCTCTCAGTGCCCAGCGGAGCCCCGAGCGGCAAGGACACCACATCTGCTCTGTCCTTTGTGTTCCTGCAGCCCGCACAGCACAGCGAGCGGCACTAAGTAAAGGCTCCAGAAACCGCTATTGAGTGAATACCGTTGTGTGCGCGTGCTGGGTGTTTGTTGATGGGCTGCACCACCTGGAGGTCTCTACCTCAGCAGGTGAGACTTTGCCACAGTGGCGCTGACTGTGGAAGCCCAGAGTGTGGTGCTGCAGGGGGGATTTTGTGAGACGCAAACAAAATGACACTGAGATGTCACACAGGTGCCCACTGGACCACGTGCCATCTGCCATTCTGCAGCTGCCTTGTTCCCCACCTTCCTCCCCAGGAAGAAGGAAAACCTTGGCCTGGAACAGGTGTAAAAAATAAGGGAGGGTTCCTCCTCCCTCCCTCCCTTCCTGTCTCCCTCAGGGAGACTGAGCCCAGGTCCCTATGTGCGTGAAGCAACGCCCCCTGGCAGCACTGGTTTTTCAAAAAGCCATAATGTTACCATTCTGAAGAATTCAAAAGTAAAGCTAGGAGCGCTTTCCGGAGCCTCACCACTCTTGTGACGAACTCATCGTGCACGGCCTCCTCCACAAACAGCCGCCCAGCGGCGATGCAGTTCTCTCCCTTGTTGAAGAAGACAGCACCCATGGCCTGGCATGGGAGGGAAGACGGTGCTGAGCCGGGCCAGGGGCCAGGATTGCCGTGAAATCACACACACAGAGAGTGTGTCACGCGCAGGACAGCAGACCACGTGGGGCCGTCACAGGGCCCTTGGTCTTGCAGTGACGAGCACTGCTGGGAGACTCAGCTTCGATGTGGCCTGCCGGGGTCCATTTGCTTAAAAAAAGTGCGTGACCACAAGGATAGACTGAGGATGCTGCAAGGAAATCAGGTTAATTCTGTAAATTTAAACGGAATGGACAGGTGTGGTGTCGCGTGACTGCGACTCCAGCGCTCACGAGGCTGAAGCAGGAGCACTGCCATGAGTTGGGGGCCACCCTGGGCTGCACAGCAAGACCCTGTCTCCAAAACATAAAAATAAAAATGAATGTAATATGTGCACGTTGTATTTCTTTAAATATCTCTGCAACATAGCCAGGTGTGGCGGCACACACCTGCAATCCCGGTACTTGGGAGGCCGAGGCAGGAGGACTGCCATGATTTCAAGTCCAGCCTGAACTATATGCAAGACCCTGTCTAAAATAAACAAACAAACAAAACTTCTACATTGATTCATATAAATCACAAATGTATAGAAAGCCTCCCTTCCCCCTCTAAATGGAAATCCATTTTTAAATGTTATCAAAATCTTTGAAATGAAGGCAGTCAAAAAATGACAGGCTATGAAGACTTTAGAATGTTGGCATCTTTCTTTTCAAAATCCAATCACTAATTTACTCCCACGTAACCTCAAAATGGATAAAAAGTACAAGAGATGCTTTGAAATGACACGCATTTCCCATACACGCCAGCCGTTCTGAGGCGGGGACCCTGTGTGTTCTCCCACACAGTCCAACTGGCCAACGCCAGCCTCGCTGGTTCAGTGTTGAAGCAAGGCAAAGAATGCTTCTCTGCGGTCACAACCCTGCTATCCTCTGTGCGCCTACAGTGACTCACCCTTGGCAGTTTCGGGTCATTCTGTTTATTCATGTTATGGAATCAACAGTGTCGATCTCTTGCTTTTCCCACTCGTTTCTCCAAGAGACTCTGGAAGGGCTCTGGGAGTCCAGGGGAGCCCTGACCATGATGTCAGTGTGGATCCTCCAGCCTTTGTCCGCCACTGACACCTCCCAACAGCCACCTGTGGCCCCTGGCCCCGGAGGGAGGAGTGCTTGGGTCTGCAGGGCCCAGGACATTCCATCTTCCTGGGGCCTTGCACAGTGGGGTGTGCAGTGTACTGTGTTCAGCCACAGCTGGGGATGGTGACCGAGATGTGCTCACTGCGGTAAGCTGGGACACTGCACTCCCTCGCTGAGATTCCCGGGGGCCCAGCACAGCCCAAGGTCTCCCTGGCTCAGTGTGCACCTGGTCTCAGAGATGAGGAATGAACACTGACCCAAAATGTCTTTGAATTTAATGTAAATAAATTTTTAGAGTTTAAGACAAACAGGTGTTGCAAAAACATAGATATTCCAAGCCAGGCATGGCGGTACACGCCTGTAATCCCAGCTCTCAAAGAGTGCCAGGAGTTTGAGGCCAGCCTAGGCTTCATAGCAAGACCCTGCCTCAAAACACCAGAACAAAACAAAAATAGGAGTTCCTACACACCCGCTATTCAGCTTCCTCTGTAATATAGAACCACACTGTTAAAACCAAAGAAGTGATGTAGCCAATTACTTTTTTTTTTTTTAATGAGATGGAATCTCACTATGCTGCCCAGGCCAGCCCAAGTGATCCTCCTGCCTCAGCCTCCAAGTGCTAGGACTATAGGCATGTGCCCTTGTGCCTGGCTGCCAATTCTTTTTTTGTTGTTTAAGCAGGGATACTTGTTTTTGTCTAACAATGCTCTTGTCAGAGCTCGATTTGTAAAGCAGACAAAAGCAGGCCGAAAGGTAAGATGTTAGGAGAGAAGCCAGAAGCACCACTGGATTATCTTCTGAACTTCTTGATATGACTTATATCTTATTTTAAAAATACTTCATTTGGAGGGATTATAAAAATATTTTTTAAATTAAGTGCTCAGTAAAAAAGGATGTCCAGTCATGGGATTTCCTTTTAAGACGACCAATAAAGAGGGAGGTGGACGGGACTGCCGGGGGGACACTGGGACCAGTGCCGGGCCTGTGACCTGCGCTCACCATTCGCACGGCCTTGTCGAGCTCACAGTCGCTGAATATGAGCAGCGGGGACTTGCCGCCCAGCTCCAGGGAGACTTTCTTCAGGTTGCTCACAGCGCAGCTGGAGGGAAATACACCAGAAGTGAGCAGTTACCACCCCCAGTGCCCCTACCCGGCAAAGCAAACATAACTGAGCCCTGGAAACATCTAGGAACACACCAGGGAAAAAAACCTGCCCGGCAGAGTGGTGATTTCTGCTGCAGTTAGACAGTGAGAGCCTGGGATTCACTGTGCTTCTGTGTGTGCTTTATGTACAGCACACATTTTCCATAAGACACAGGTTTTTCTTAATTCTGGACTCAAACAATTAGTGATGCCTCCAGGCGAACTGCAGTTCTTTAGGAATTTGGGCTCCGTAAGGCCTGGCAGGGAAGTCCAGTCTTTAGCCAGGCACTAGAACACCAGAGGGTGGGATGGCGATTTTTAGAAACATGTTGTTAACGTGCTCAGAAATGCAGACAGAAGGAAAAAAAAAAAAATCGCAAAATTGCACTCCAAGGCTCCATGACCACTGCGCTCACCACCTTGATACCCTTATTTCTGGTCTGCATCCTACCACAGCTTTTACCTTAACATAGGTGGGATCACCCAACACAGACAATTTCACACCTATTTTTCTCTCAATTTATCACTTGAAAAACAATTTTCATTGTTATTAAACATTTTTCATGAATGTGACCATGGTGTTCTATTATGCTGATATACTTTAATGTCTTATTTTGGAAACTTAAAATATTAGCAACATTGAAAAAAACTAATATTACTGAATTTTGAAGATTCTTTTATTTTGCTTTTCTTTTTTGAGATAAGGTCTTTCTATGTAGCCCAGGATGACCTTGAACTTGCAGCAATCCTCCTGCCTCAGCCTTCTGAGTGCTGAGATTACAGGCATGTACCACTGTCCCCAGCTTCAGAATTCATTTTATAAATAATCCAGATTTGTCACATATAGTGTAGAAATTATTTCAGTGTCTGATTTATGCTCTGAAAACAATGTGGGCTGCATCTTCGGCACACAACAATTTTTGTGTTGGATTTCGAAAGCTACCAGTAGGGGACAGGATTTCAGTATATAGCCCTGGTTTTATTAACAGTGTTCTTTCAACCTTTGGAAAGCTTTTTATTATATTCAAGTACTTTAACAGCCAGCAGCAAGAAGTACATTTCTCTTCTACAACTGATGTGGCTTTTCTGACCCCAAAAGTGCTGTTTAAACAAAAGCAGAAAAGTGATGAATGGGGTCTGCAGCAAACTGACCCAGTGAAACCAGTACCTTTTCATGATCTGTTTGCCAATTGAAGTGGAACCCGTGAACCCGAGTTTTCGGACATCAGGATGCTCAGAAAGGCGCTGTCCTGCCACGCCCCCTGCAGGATGTAGGTCAAACAGGAAGGAAACTATGGCTCAGGTCCATCGGTGAGGATGGTTTGAATCCAGATGTCTAAGCTTTCATTTTAATCTGTTTTGCATTTTCTGTGTTAATCACAGACTGATGAAATTTAAATAACATCCTGTGTGCAGCTGCCGGCCGCACCCCAACACTGATGAGTTAGCCTGGGCGTGGCCCACAGCAGTCACTGAAAATCCAGATGGACCCAGGGTAGTCACGGGGACCCCAGGGTAACCACGGGGTTGCATAGCCTCTACCCACCCTCCCATGCTCTGAGTTCTGTGCCCACAGCCGCAACAGTGCCCCTTGCTAAGCAGTGTTCAGTTTCACCCTAGCCATAGTTTAGGCAAAGGCTCCAGCAGGAAGACAGCCACTCACATACCCACACCATCCCTGGGTGCAGCCCAGGTGCTGCTCTGTAGGCTCACCTGAGCCAGGGAGGATGTTGATCACCCCCTTTGGGAAGCCTGCCCGCGCGGACAGCTCGGCGAACTTCAGAGCTGTCAGGGGTGTGACCTGCCAGATCAGACACGGTTACGTTCCTCACACTCTGGCCCCTTCACACCAGCACCCAGTTTCCCGAGGCTGTGTGAGAGCTTGCTTCATTGTTTTACACTGTTTCTTCTTTATTGTTACATAATTTCAAACACAAGTTCAAGAACTTTTTATATCCTTCACTCTGATCGCTCAGGATGAAGATCAGGATTAACTTTGTCTATTTTCTTTTCCATCTCTGTGTCTATCTCTCATCTACTTATCACCTAGATTTGTCATCTATCTATCACCTGTCCATCATCTATTCCTTTGCACTGTAAGATATGTAGTATACATGGTTTGCCTCTAAATATTTCTATATGCATTTCCTAAAATCAAGACATTCTTCTACATAGCCACAGTACACTTTTCAAAACCAGGAAAGGAACCACCAATGGAATCATTAATTTCACACTTTGGTTCAAGTTCACCACTTGTTCTGATGTGTTCTATTGCAAAAGCAAAGCCGCCCTTATGCACTGCATTGTTGTGCCCACAGTCCCAGCCCACCAGGGAGAGCTTCTGAGTTTTCTTTTAGCCCACTGCACTGACCCTTTGAGAGAACACAGGCCACTTAGTTCATGCAGTGTCCCCGGCCCGAATTTGTCTGACACTTCCTCACAATTAGATTCAGAGTATGCACTTTTGGTAAGAATTCCCACCAAACCGTTGCCATCACCTCTGATCATTTGGATGTGGTCTACTTTTTTTTTTTTTTTTTTTTTTTTTTACACGGGCTGTCCCAGGGATCGAACTCAGGTCCTTGCGCTTGCAAGGCAGGCGGCAGAACCACTGAGCTAAATCCCTGGTGCCTCTGATCCTTTGGGAAAGACGGTCTGCCAGTCTCACTGCATGTCACGGTCTTATCCTTTGTAACAGTAATATTTTGTCAGGTGACACGCCTCAAACTGAACCCACTTATTTTAGTGTCCACTGGTGGCTTCTGCCTGAATCATACGATGGTGACAGGTGCCACATGGTGATTTCTAGTCCCACCGTTCCTCCTACTTAGACTATGCTTAGACTGTCTGCCATCCCACAGTCAGACCTTTCACCCCCCACCCCCCACCTCTTAGCACTGACCTCATGCTGATGCTCCTGCCTTGGCCTCTGAGTGCTGGGTTACAGACACCCAGCACACAATCTAGTTGCTGTTTAACACGGCACTGTTTACAAATGTGCCTCTCTGCTCCTGAGTGTGTACAAGGGGCACGTGGGATTGCACTGGCCCCAGGCTTACCTGCGCCGGCTTAAGCACCAAGGTATTGCCTGCAGCCAGGCATGCGGCGCTCTTCCAGGCCAGCATCATGAGTGGGTAGTTCCAGGGGATGATGATGGCACAGACACTGTGGGAGACGTGGCATCCTCAGTGGCTCAAAGCAGCACAACTCACAGGTCCCCACAGCTCCGCCCACCTTACCCGATGGGCTCCTTCTTGGTGAAGGTGAGGTTGCGGTTCGGACGAGCCTGGTTGATGGGAATCGTAGACCCCTAAAGAATAAAAATGGTCGAGCATACTGGCTAATAAAACAGTCTTCAGTAAATGCAAAAAGAAATATCAGAATTTTACCACACATGTCATGAGATCAAAGTGCAATGGCAGCAGAAATCAATGGCAAAGGAAGCCACAGAAATGATGCAAACACGTGGAGATTAAACATCACACTCCTGAATGGTCAGGAGTCACAGAAGAGACTAAGGAAGGAATGAGACAGTTCCTAGAACTCCATGATAATGCCGGTACAGCACAGCAGATCGTATGGGACACAATGAATGTATTCCTGCAAGGGAAGTTCAGAGCTGTGAATGTCCACATGAGGAAAACAAAGTGAGTTCAAATAAATAACCTAAGGACGCACCTCAAGGTCTTAGAAAAACAGGAACAATCTCAATCCAGATCTGGTGAAGAAGGAATAGCATCAACAAAAATTAAATACTTAAGAAAGTAAAAGACCTCTACAGTGAAAAGGAAATTGAAGAAGACACAGATGGGCTCCTGCATAGGCAGAATCTATATAATAGAAATGGGCACACTTCTAAAACTGGTTTTAGATTTAATCTAATTCCAATCAAAATGCCAGCAGCGTTTCTCAGATCTATAGAAAACAAGTGTAAAATTTCATATGGACTCAGAAGATACCCAGAATAGCAAAAGCAATCCTGGGCAACAAGAGCAGAGCAGGAGGCATCACAATCCCAGATTTGAAGTTATACTACAAAGCCACTATGATTAAAACAGCATGCTGCTGGCACAAAGACAGGCACGTGGATTGAGGGAACAGAATGGAAGAAGCAGAAACAAGCACAGGCAATACGGCTATTTAATCTTTGACAAAGGGGCCAAGAACACACACTGGAAGAAAGACAGCCGCTTTAATAAGTGGGGCTGGGAAAACGGGATAGCCACATACAGAAGATTGAGTCTAGATCCGTACCTCTCACCACGTACTAAACTAAAATAAAAATGGATCAAAGATCTCAATGTTAAGATAAAAGCACTTAATCTGCCGGAAGATACAATAAGTAAAATTCTTCAAGAAATAAGTGTAGTCAAGGATTTTCCGAGAGGAACTCCAATGGTACAAGAAATGATACCAAGAATCATCAAATTTAAAAGCGTCTGCCCAGAAAAAGGAACATCCAACAGAACGGAGAGAGAGCCTAGAAAGTAGGAAAAAAATGTTGCCAACTGCTCTTGGGACAGAGGATTTACATCTAGAGTATATAAAGAACTCAAAAAAAATTAGATTTCCCAAAATAAAAGACCCAATTTAAAAAAAGGGCAAGTAAAACAAGTAGACATCCCCAGTAGAATTACAAAGGCCAATAAATACACGAAGAAATGTTCAGCCTTGCTGGCCACCAGAGAAACGCAAATTAAAACAAGACTGAGATCCCATCTTACTCCAGGAAGAGTGGCCATCATCAGGAAATCAAATAGCAACAGGTGCTGGTGAGGCCTCAGGGAAAATGGAACCCTTCTACATTGTTGGTGGGAGTGTGAACTCATGCGGCCACTATGGGAATCGGTACGCAGACTCCTCAAAAACTAAAACTAGAGATTTCATCTGACCCAGCTGCTCCCTTCTAGGAATCTTCCCGAAAGAGTTCAAGACCTCAGATGACAGCGATCCCTGCACACCCGTGTTTCTAGCAGCATAACTCACAACAGCTAAATGTTGGAGATGGCCTGGCGCACCCATCAGAAATGTGAGAGAATGAACTTTGTTCTTCACAAGTGAACCAGTCTCGGGTACTCTCGTCTGCAGTAGGAGGCAGACCAGGACCACCGTGACACGTAGGTGAGGGACCGACACAGACTGTGGGTCTGGCTGTGACAGACCAGCTGTGCTCACCTGGATTTTGTCACACCAGCCAGCAAAGTATCTGAAAGTCTGCACGGACATCCCAACGTGAGTCTTCAGTGCCAGGGTGTAGACGGCCCCTGAGTCCAGGGCTTCGATGGTGGCCAGCTCCTCTTGGTTCTCTTCCAGGAGGTCTGCCAGTCTGCATGGCCGAGAAAGAAATTCATTCAGCAAACACGGACAGGGCCGGTCATGCGCATAATCCCAAACTCAGAGCAGATCACGGTCACGACGGCCTCCGCCTTGGGGGTGGCCCGGCGGGGAAGATGGCGATTCAACCGATTTCATAAGTGAATGGCCTCAGGAGTTCCGAGGGAAGGCACAGGGCGCCGGACGCAGGCAGAACTCGCTCATGTACTCGTAAGACAGAGCTGGGACTGAGCCACAGGGACCAACGGTAGGGGCAGTGGGAACGTGGGTAGTTCTTGAACACACAGAAACCCCAGCCTTGAGGAGTGTGGACACTTGTGGACCTCTGGATGGTACAGGAATGTTTTCATTGTTATGAGATGGGGTCTCACGATGCAACGCCAGCTGGCCTGGAACGCACAGTAACTCTCCTGCTTCCGCCTCCCAAATGCTAGCATCATGCATGTGCGCCACCATGCCTGGCTGGTATAGAACTATTTTCAAAGCTAACTGAAAAGGACAAGATAGAAATATAGGGTGGGCACGACGAATACACAACGGAGTCCAGTTTGGTACCCGTTTCCTTGGGAAGGTAAGTGCGGGTGTGTGGGGTGACTCTGAAACCGTCCAAATCCACCTGGGGGACCTCCCTGACTGGTCCTTCTGTGGCTGCTTCAGCTCCTTACAGCCAGGCTTGAACCCCTGCCCCAGTGTTTCTGGCCGACCGTGGACGCGGAATTCCCTGGCCCCCTCCCGGGGCGGGGCTACGCCTCAGGTCGCTGTGTCTCCTTCCCTTGGGGTGTCCTGCTCCTCCACCTGCGCCCCTGAGGCAACACTGACTGACCCAGGCGACAGTCTAGAAGCCAGGCCGCCCGGGCGCGTCGTACGACACGGGTGACAGAGCCATGCTGTGGTACAGGCATGCACAAGAAGGTCACCAGGGATTTCGAAAATCCCGTAGCCAGTTTCCATGACAGATTGGCTTTTCTGGAAGACGCACCTGTACATCAGCCGTCCCCTCTCTCTGGCGTTCATCCTTCCCCATTCGCCGTTTTCAAAGGCTTCCTTCGCGGCCGCTACTGCTTTATCGACATCGGCCAAAGAAGCATAGGCTACTTTGCATATGGTCTATTTTGAGGTAAGAAAAACAGGTCAGGTACGGGGCAAATTCTTTCAAGTCTTAAGATTAACATATTAATAGAAACAGATTTGGGTTTTCAATTTTTTTTAGATAGGGTCTCACTATGTAGCCCAGGCTGGTCTCTTAACTTTCAGCAATCTTCCTGCCTCAGCCTCCTGAGTACTGAGATGACAGGCGGGCACCACCACAGCTAGCTAGGAAAAAGTATAAAATTCCAAGAATTTTAGGATAGAAAAGTAATGTAGTAAAGAAGAAGAAAGGACGTGAAGACGGATGTAAGCGACCTGGAACCTGGCACTCGTCTGGCCACGCGCCCTGTGGAGAAGCATCCTGCACCTTGGGGAGGCTGAGTTCTCAGCCAGACTATCCCAGGCTGCAGATGTTGTTCCACCCAGAGCGGTGTGAGGGGACCTGACCTGCACCCCGTGGCTGTCTGTCTAGCTCACGCGACACCGCGGTGATGGAGGCAGGACGGCGGCAGCAGCAGCAGCAGCAGCAGCAGCAGCGCTAGGCTGCCAGTGAGGACGCAGCGCAGGGAACAACTGAGAACCTGCCCACCACGCCGCACTCACAGAGCCGTCGGCTGGGTTCACCGTGTCGTACGTCCTCCCATCCTCCGCATCCACGAACTCCCCGGCGATGAAGCACTGGTGCGGCATCCTCAGTGTCCTGTCGTTGGCCTCCCTGGACACCTGAGGACAGAAGGCTCCTGTGGGGCCCGTGGACTCCTGGGCTCGTCAGCCAGGTACCAGCAGCAATCACGAGAAGAGAAGTTGGGCCCGCGGATTCGCGCCTAGGCGAGCTCAGGGCCTCAGATGCCCAGGCCCACTGAGGCCCGAGGCTGAGGTCCCCAGGACTGTGCCCTGGGCTCTTGGCGGACAGCCCAGCTGCGAAGGTACAAGTCTCCTTGACACTGAGACGCTGCCATCTAGTGGCAGCATCTGTGAAGCGCAGCCTTGCTTTCTCTTAAACCCCGGAAAACGCCTTTGCCAGGGCGGCTTTTCCTAGTTCCTTCCCCACTCGCTTTCTCTGTGTCCCAGTGTTGTGCAATCTGTATGCTGCCACTGGCCTGCAAGTGGATTAAAGTTACTCGGCTGCCTTCTGTGAAGCTCAGTTTCTTCAACAATAAAATGGGAACGATAATACCTGCTTTATATAGCAAATATAGCCTTCCAAAAAAAAAAGGGAGAAATTAAAGCATTCCCAAGAGACAAAAAAGAGAAAAGAAAAATGGAGAAACGCGTTGCTGTTCCAAGGAGCCCTTCAGGCTGAAATGACAGCACGTGAGCTAGGAGCTTCAACCCACACAGAAAAATAAAAAGCACTGGTCAAAGTAATCACACAGGTAGGTTTAGCCATCAGTATAAATATATTTTTGTTTTTCTTTCGCTCGGCTATGAAAGACCATTGTATAAAGCAGTAATTTTCATACTGTGTTAGTGGACAGAGTGCACAAAAGGAACGTGTGTGACAGGAACAGCACAGCAGAGGAGGTGTGGGACAGGTAAATCATAGCATGTTTTCTCTTCTGCTGACATTAACCTGAAAACCTTGTTTTCAGTGAAAATGTCAATCCTCAGGGCGACCACCTAAAAAAGAAAAGAAATAGGAAAAGAAACAATGAGGGATGAAAATGCCCTCCTAGGCAGTGTGTGTCTAAACAGAACAGCGAAGTGGACAAGGGAGAGGGCGCAGAGAAGACATCAGATGAGGCACAGAAAGGGTGGAGGCAGACAAAGCAGGCTCCGTCCGATGGAAACCTGCTGCTGTTGAAGGACATTACCGAGAAAGGGAAGAGAAAGTCAACAGAGCGAGAGAAAATGTCCTCAGGTCTGTGCTGCCCAGGGTCTACCATCCGGGATGTACAAAGGACTCTCACAGCCCAGCAGCAGAGTCAGCCCGATCTACAAAAGGACAGACATAACGCACAGAAAGGGCCGGCTCAGGGAAGGAGGCCTGTGTGTGCCAGTCACAGGGAGCACAAGGAGAACCACCGTGACCTGCAACTTCCCAGGACAGCTGGAGGAGAGAGACGACACAGCCCGCACAGGCGGGGTGAAGGAGGGCGGGGCAGTGTATCAAAGCATGGGCAAACAGGTGGGCAACTCCTCTGGAAGGGAAATTCAGAATTACCATGCGACTCATTGGTGATCTACTCAAGAAAACTGAAAACATACATTCAAGCAAAGACTTATACATGCATTTTATGGCAGCGTTTTCCTAACAGCCAAAAAGAAGAAATGACCCAGATGCACATCAACTGAAAAACAGACAAACTAGTACATCCACGTGATGGAATATTACTTGCCCAGGGAAAATAAAGTAATTAAACATGCTACAGTGTAAATAAACCCTGAACACATTGTGCTAAATGAAAAAAGCCTGACACAAAGGTCACACACCATATGGTTCTATTTCTGGGAAATATCTAAAAGGGTAAACTCACAGAAAAGTGATGAGTGGTTTCTATAGAACGGGGTAGAAGATGGGGGGCGTGGAATGATCACCAGTGGGTGCAGGCTTTCTCTATGGGCTGATGTGAAAGTTCCAAAATGAGTGGTGAAGGGCTGGGGATTTAGCTCAGTGGTGCCAAATTCAATCCCCGGTGCCCCCCACAAAAGGCAAGAATCACAATGAGTGGTGATGGCTGCACCACTCCAAGTGTTGTAAAGCCACTGAAGCATACACTTTCAATGGGTGGATTTTACGGTACCTGATCAGCTCACTACATAGCCCAGGCTGGCCTTGAACCTACTGTATAGCCTCCACTGGCCTGAAACGCACAGCAATACTCCTGCCTCAGCCTCCTCAGTGCTGAGTGCTGAGCACCACCACACTTCACTAACAGCTATCTATAAAGGGTTATGGATGTAAAGCAAATGGACAAAAGACACCAGCACTTCACGGTGCACAGATCTCGAGGAGTCAGAGACGGAAAAACAAGCAGAAGCTCACATAGTCCACGACCAGCTCAGCCGCCTGGTCCTCTCCTCTCAGCTTCCTCACCACCTTCTGCACGAAGTCTCCAAATGTGGTGGCCAGGTAGACGTCTTCGTTCTGGAGCTGGAGGCCACCGCACTTCTGTCTGATCTCTTCCACCAGCCTTCAGGGAGGAAGAGTTCGAGTTACTGTCCTTTCTCGGGGGCTCTCAGGGGACCCTGCTGCCAGCACCTATGGGGTTCATGCCAGTTTGTGTCCCAGGACATCAGGTCCCTGACAGCCATAACTGAGTCTGATAAGGTGGGGGCAAGGACACTCAAAACCTGTCTTGAAGGACACTGGGTTATTCTTTTAAAAAGCGAGGCACGACTAAAACTGCAAGCAAGATAGCAAGGGGCACATAAAGTCAGCCTCTTTGCTTTCCAGGGAACACAGGGAGTGAGAATGAAAGCAGCTGCCCGCCACACCTACAGTGAGAAGGGACCATCACGGAGGATTTTCTCCATCTGCACAAGGACAAGAGACACCGTGCGTGCAATGCACACCAGGAGGCACTCACTAGAGCCACGCTGCAGGTAGTGCAAGTCCTGAAGTCCCTCCCAATGCTGTGATTTCCACAGCCACTGTGCCAAGTCAGCGGTCACCTTGAATGCTGGTGCTACACCGCGGACACCAGGAAGCCCCAGAAGAGTGAGTGGTCCACGTATTCTTCAAAAGTCGAGGTTTGGTAACCAAGACAATGACACCCAATGGTGTTATCAAGACAACAGCATCAGATGGTGCTGGCAGGTCACTTGGCAGGAAGCAAGGAATTTGGGAAGTTAACTTTTTTCTTTTTTTTTTGTTGTTTTTTTGAGGCAGGGTCTTGCTATGTAGTTCAGGCTGGCCTTGAACTCACTGTGAGCCCAGGCTGGCCTCAAACTCTCAGGGATCCACCTGCCTCAGCCTCCTGAGTGCTGGGACTACAGGTATTTGCTACCATGGCCGGCTAAGAAATCTATAACTCGAGGAACCAGAAAACCTGCTTCTTGATAATACTATGTAATTGAAATCATGATTTTTCGGTTCTTAGAGTAAAATTCCCAGGAATAATAGGACTTTAGTTTGTAACCGTATGTTCACTCCCCAAACTGTCTTGATATGTAGTAAGTGTTTAATAAATATTGTGAACTAAACCTGTGAATGAAAGGATCAGCAGGGTGTTCAGGAGATGGCTCAGTGGTGAGCTGGGTCATGGCAAGGGAAGGGTCATTCTTAGCTTGTGTACTTAGTGAATGGCCACAGTATGGCCTGGAATCAAAAGCCCTCAAGCTTCAGGGTTAGTTTCCAGGGATCTTCTAGCCCAGAAAAGTCATTATCTGAAGGAAAAAAAACAAAAAAACATAAAAACACTTCTGCAAGGCCCTGCACCTTTAGGGTCCTGCACTCATGTAGCCAGAGGTGATACGGGTTACTGGGCCTGACTCTGCCCAGGGCCCTTTCCTCCTGCTGCAGACCTCGTGGGGAAAGGCTCACCTCAAGGTGAGGACGCCTACTTTGCAGGTGGCCTTATAACTTGATCTGTCTTACTGGGTAGCTGGGAGGAACGGAGAGAACAGACTGGGAGGCCAGGCTGTGTAATTCCCCCTTAGCGTTCTGGCTTGCAGCGTCTCCATTCCGAGGTCACATTGGAGGGAAAATCACCTACTAGATGGAAAGACAACTTTCTAAGAGTGCCAAACGTGGAGGTTTACGGCCTCGGTCTAAAGGAGCCTGGAAACTGCTGTGGTTCGGAACCTGGGAGAAGCAGGAGATACTGTAACCGTGCCTGGCCGTGGGTCAACTTGCAGGGAAGACAGGCAGGGCCGAGGGACCCTGTGTGCAGAGCAGAGGGTGCGGGCCGGTTCGCTATCCGAGTCCAGGAGCGCGTGGTCCTGCTCACCTCGCCACATCCATCGAGCTCGCCCCAGATCTGAAGAAGTCCGTGGAGGCTTCGATGGCTCGGACATTGCTCAGAATTCCAGCCCAGATGGCCTGCGTGGAGGGACAGCGCACGTGAGCCGGCGCCGGCAAACCTGCGAGTGGCTGATTTCCCTGCGTCGTCCGGCACGGTCGGCCACGCCCCGTGACATGAGTGGGGTGCCGGGAACCCCCGCCT